TAAAGAGACGCTCTCGGCAAATTGTAATTTACCGGGAAAAAATTGTGGGGTCGGAAATTTGGCAGAAAAAAAATGGTAGGTCGGGTAACTGGAAACACATAATTTTTTGGCCTCATGTTCAATTGTATTTCTCATATCTCATAAAAAAAATTTAAACAGTTGAAGGAAGACTTCGATAGTTTACAAGGGGAGATAGAGGATGCATGTTTTGATGAGTATGTCTATATCCATACTTTCATTTCTTTTAGTTGTGTCAATTCAGTTTAAGATGGTATTAATTTTACATTTTAACTCGGACCATGCAATTAAGTATCGAATGAACAGGTTTAACTGTTTTCATATTTTTAAATTTGATGTACGTCGGATGGGACGTTAAACGGTGCCCCGTGTCACGATTTTACATGTACAACCCACTTGGCACGAAAAAGATCGGTTCTGTGGTTTTTGATAAAGAGCAGGCTCATTGGGGCCGCCAGAGAAACCCGAAACTTCAAACTCCGAATTTGAACTTCAACCGCCGAAATATGGCTGAAATATTGACGACTCGGCGTTAAACAATGAAAATCAATCAATCGAATGGAATGCAAGATGAAAATATTGAATCACAAATAAGGAAAACTGACCTCGGGATTAGATCACTCCAAAATAAAATCAACTTATGAGAAAGAAATCTTAGATAACCAAAATATGGCAACATAGGTTCGGCATACGCAGCTTTTCACACTTGCAACTGCATTAGGTAGACCTTTATACTCAATATATCCTGAAGCAGGGAATCTGAAATTAAGGAAAAATCTAAACTAAGTTATTCTTCAAGAACAGAGAGACACATTACTAACATCATGTGTATAAGTATCCAATCATTTTTTTTACCAGCTTTAGAAGTCGAATTAGAAAAGAAACCACTTGACGTAACAGGAAAACTAGAAATACTAAACCTACAAATACAAAGATGGCGTTTAGTGAGGAAGAGAAAACCAGATTTAGACTTGTAATCTGAAACAGATGGTATGTTGTTTCACGTCCCATTTGAGAATATATCACTTATATAGAGTTATCACCACACACACAATGTGTGTGGTGATAACTCTACATAAGTATTCAAATTTTATCCTTTAATTGGCACTCACGGCCATTGAACTATAAGGATCTTTATGGTGCCAACGACTGCCGTGACGCAGGACCTCGGTTTTCAAGGTCTCATCGGAAGAACCCGCAACTCTCGGGGGGAGGGGGGGGGGGCTGAAAAAACAAATACAATATGAAATGATGAGAAGTGGCAATAACATCATTGAAAATTAGCAAAATAGGGGGACACCATTCGGATGCGAAATTTAAAACCGAGGACCCGTGTCGCAGTAGGTACATGGCACAATAAAGATCCCTCACTGCTCAGTGACCCTGAGTACCAAGTAAAGGTCAAAATTTAAATACCCTTCACCAGTATATAGTGACGTCTCTATATAAATAAAAAATTCTCAAATGGGACGTGAAACATCACAATATGTAAAGCACTACAAGAAATTAATGCATAAATTTTACATCTGGGAACTCGCAGTCAACCTGCTGTGCCCAATCAACCATGATCAACAGTCAAGCCAGTTACTAGCAGTTTCGGAGCTCTCGCCTTAACACCAGCTAGACATTAGTGGTATTACGTATCAAGACTTAAATGTTAACACCGAATGTTCGTCTTTTTATCCAGACACAGAAAATGCACACGAACAATTGCAAGGGATTAAATTTAGTTTAATTTTACCAAGGTCATAGACAGTCATGCGACTATAAAAATATTGTCTTTAAATTCACTGACTACAGAATCCTTACAGCAGGTCAGTAAGTTTACGTCGGGTCGCTGGTCCCTTTTTCTGTTCTCCATTTCTCAACCTTATACAGTTTCCTATGGGTATGATACCTAAAATAAATGGTACTTATACACTGTAGTGATCCTCAGTATGGTTCAGTTAAATACACATCATTTGATAAAGCTTTAAGAATGTTGAAAAGGTTAGGACCAGGAAGGGGAAGTCAGTACGCAAAACCCCTAAGATTTTAGTATTGCATTGTGAGGGAAACAATATCCCTGATGCTAGTGGCGACAAGTCAATAAAGTTAAGATTGAAAGTTGTTGCCAGAAACCGCTTTAGTGTGGCCGTCAACTCAATACTGGCCTTCAATAGTGTGGCCTTTAATTACAGCATTGGCGTGGATTATCCAAAAAGCCTTGAAAGGTTAGAACGCGCCGCAAAATTTTCATTGCTGTTACATTACTAAGGTCCGTAGGAAGTATATTCGTTATCATGAAATCCATTTGAAAAGCTACAATTATTTGCTTCAGATGAAATGCACTTATCTGAGCTCGGCAACCGTGTGTTTTTGTAATACCTCCAATTCCTTCTCAGAAACTCGCCAAAACCAGAGGAGTTTAGGACTTGGATGTGCTATGACTAGTTAGTGGGAATAGTTTGCCACAAATCGATGGTCATGTTAAAACGAGTGCTACTCATTTGCATACCCAGTAAGTCATTTTGAATTTTGCAGCGATACTTTTGTCAAACCAGAAGTCTCTGTCGAGACTGAAGCTCTACTGGTTTGAACTTATAGCAAAGGAAGAGAAAGTACTTAAGCAGCTGGGATTTGAAACTTTATAAACAGCATTAAATAGAATAATGATCGTTGATAAAGTCTCTTTATGTTCTTAGTGTAGTCTACTTGTGTGCCAAGTTATACTGAAATCAGACCAAAACTGTAGGAGGAGTAGCATTTTGAAACAATTTTACAGACATTTCTATTTTTAGTAACCACGGCAACACCGTTCATCAAAATTAAAATTCGATACACAGAATTATGTATCTTAGTGTAGTCTACTTGTGTGCCAAGTTATATTGAAATCAGACCAAAACTATAGGAGGAGTAGCATTTTGAAACAATTTTACAGATATTTCTATTTTTAGTAACCACGACAACATCATTCATCATATCAAAAACCGATATACAGAATTATGTATCTTGGTGTATTCTACTTGTTTTCCAAGTTATACTGAAATCAGACCAAAACTGTAGGAGGAGTAGCATTTTGAAACAATTTCACAGAAATTTCTATTTTTAGTAACCACTGCAACACCGTTCATCGAAATCAAAAACCGATGCACAAAGTTATGTATCTTAGTGTAGTCTACTTGTGTGCCAAGTTATGCTGAAATCAGACCAAAACTGTAGGAGGAGTAGCATTTTGAAACAATTTTACAGAAATTTCTATTTTTAGTAACCACGGCAACATCGTTCATCGAAATCAAAAACCGATACACAGAATTATGTATCTTAGTGTATTCTACTTGTTTGCCAACTTATACTGAAATCAGATCAAAACTGTAGGAGGAGAAGCATTTTGAAAGAATTTCACAGAAATTTCTATTTTTAGTAACCTGGGCAACACCGTTCATCGAAATCAAAAACCGATACACGGAATTATGTATCTTAGTGTAGTCTACTTATGTGCCAAGTTATACTGAAATCAAACCAAAATTGTAGGAGGAGTAGCATTTTGAAAGAATTTCACAGAAATTTCTATTTATAGTAACCACGGCAACACAGAGTTCCCGAAACCTGTCAAAAATCTGTCGGACAATTGTCCGGTAAATATTCAAAATTTACCGGACATTTGTAAAATTTACCGGAAATTAAAACTTATGCAAAAAATATGCAATTAAATTAAAAGGGTTGTTTAAAAATGTTTAATTTATTCAATTTTTATTCAAATCATTCAAACTCCCTTTCAATTTCAAGAACAGTTTCCTCTATTAAGTAGTTATTTAAATCTTCTGTCTGCTCAATGTCACTTTCACTCTCAGTCTCTAAAGTTTCTGACTCATAGTCATTGTCATCAGTTACTTCCTGAACTCTGACATCTGTTTCTTCCTGAACTCTGGCATCTGTTTCTTCCTGAACTCTGACATCTGTTTCTTCCTGAACTCTGACATCTGTTTCTTCCTGTACACGTACAGTTGACTTGTCTGTGTCTTGCTGTTTCTTTGATGATCTAGCATAATTTAACTTTCTTGCCTGCTTACTAGATGTCTACAAAATATGTACATTATCATATACTTGTATAGGTTTGAGCCTCAAACCTAATGTGACATTAAAAATAGGTATTATACAACAATACTGGGAATATTTACCATCCATTTATTAACTGCAGGTGTAGGATCAAAATCTAAAATGTCAGCTGACTCCAGCTGAATAACCATACAGTCATTCAGGTGCATGTTACTCAGACGCTGCCTCCTGTTTGTTTTGGTAAGCTTCATCTGGTTAAAAGATGCCTCATTAGCAACAGAAGTTGCTGGAAGAGTGCGCAGCAAGTCCATTGCTGTCAAAATGTCTTGGATTCCCATATCAGAAAAACTACTCCACAGCTGTGTCCACTTAACAGTGGTCAGCTTATTCCCGTACCTTAAAACCAAACAAAATCATTTTTACAGAATCACTGGACATTGTTGATACAATGTAATAGTAATTTTTTTTTTGGTTACACAATTGAGAGTTTAATACATACTTCTTGTGTACAAGAGTTTTAAGTAAGGTCCACTGGTCCTGCAATTCATCTAAGTGCACCCCCTGTTGAACTAGCGTGTTTTTAAATCTATCCATGGCAACATCAAGATGATCACACCCATAGTCTGAAATGAGTTAATATACATGTACTCTCTCTGACTCTCAATCCATTTATCTTAATACATGTATGCTTAAAAGGATTATGACAGAGTATGGTTACAGATTAATTGATTGTGCCAGAGTAGGTTGCTTATAACAAGTCTTGGAGGATTATGCCAGAGTAGGTAACACTAACGTAAATAGATTAATGGATTGTGCAAGAGTGGGTTATATATTAAGCAGAATTATATATAGGCATGCAAAGTACATAAAAATAGCCACACCACTTCTACTAGACAACTACACATCCACTATATATTATTGAATTCCTGCTCCATGCTAATTACTTACTTATCTGGGATTTCTGAAATGATTGAATTGAATATGATTCACATTATGATTGAATTTTTATTAACAGACAAAACATTATAAATCATTTTGTTCTTTTGAATTGCTAAAATTTAATGTTTAATTATTATTACCTTTCAATTCCTCCAATGGCCAGTTTCTTAAGTTAGCAATTTCTGTAAATTTCACTTCATCCCCAAGATCTGCAAATCTAATACTTAATGCTTTTGTCATGTCAGTGACCATTTTGTTAATCAAAGAGCCACTGTTCAAGGGTCCTGTAACTGTTAATGGAATGCCAGCAACTTCCTTTGTTTCTTCTAATTTTAACAGTGTCTCACTCTTCCTAAAATTAATTATATGATCTTTGTAAAATAATATTTTATTCTTCAGTTTTAATGTTTGAACTCTGTTGTATAATAGAGTGTAGAATATCAGGAACTTACTTCTCCTTCAGGGATTCTAGGTGGCTGACAGTTGATTGCACCATGAGATGGACATCAGCCAATGTCACATCCCTGGATTGAAGAAACAGTGACAGTCTCACCAAGGGATTCAAAACATCCTTAAAGCAACAGAAATAAAAAAAAATTGATTTGTTTCATTTACTCTGACTTACCATAAAAAAATTTCAATAATTGATCGCTTCAACTAATTTGATTTACAATTTTTTTTAAATCTTTTTTTTTTTATATAAATGTTATCTGAAATACTACTTTAAAATTAAAAATTTTAATATACCAGTAATACTGTGGCATAAACAATCACTTGAAAGTTGCACATGATTTTAACTAGACCCTCTGCTTTGGAGTTGGTATGGGACTCATTCTGCAGGTGAGAAACATATCCAGGAAAACTTGTGAACAATGACTTTAATGCTCGCTGCATGTGTGGCATCCACCGGCTGCCAGACACTCTATGAGGGAGTGTTCCCTTCACATTCATCACCTATTAAAATATCAATGTTGTTCTATCATGTCTATCTCGGTTTCCTTGAACAAAATTTGAACAATTCAATAGAAAACCACAAAAATACCTCAAAGGTGTGTCTAAGATTCTTGCGTTGCTTAGGGCTCCTCTTGTAAAAGTAGAATATACCAAGGAGAAGGGTAGACAGACGCTCATACTTTTTATCTGCTTTAACCACATCACGAAAAGACAGTTCTAGTCTATGAGCCAAGCAATGACAGGCAAGCAGTTCTGGAAAATCCTTTTGCAGCAGCGTCACCAAGCCCCCTTTCTTACCCATCTTAAATTGATAATTATAGCATGTTTAACTTCTTGTGAGAAAAATTAATTTTTCTTTAGTGTACTATTTTACAGCTTCCTGCATTTTCTTTTATCTGAGAATCATCCAACTTCAAACCCTACTTATATAACATGACAAGCACGAAGGATATGAAAATAGAAAAAAATATAATAAAAACATTTACCATATTTGCTGCACCGTCACATCCAAAGCCAATAAATGAGATGTTCTGATTCAGTTCATGTGTCTTCAGAATGTTTGTAACAAATGTGTACAAGTCAGCAGAAGATGTTGAGGCTGGCTCTCCAATTGTCAAGAATTTGGTAACAATATCACCTTGATCACAAAATCTTACAAAAAGTGTCTCCTGCTCCACTGTAGCTTCATCTGTAGATCCATCCATTGTAAGGCTGAAAAACTTCGCCCTCTTTACGGACTCTAAAATGCTCTCTCGTTCTACATCAGCGATATTCTCTAAGAAACAAGTGGCTGCTTTACAGTTATTGTATGTCTCACCACTGTCAAGGATTCCTTTTGCAATGTCTAATTTGTTGACCCAAACAAAATCACTTATAGGTCTATTGCTTTTTATAATCCCATGTATGTTTCTGAAATAGTTTTCCAAAGTTTTTCGTTTATGTTCATTCAAAGCTAACAAAGATTTCCTTGCAGGCGTTTCCTGAGGATTTGCTCTGGCATTCTCAAAATCTGCTGCATCTTTGTGAAATGTCGAATTCTCATGATCTACCAATGCACTGGTTCTAAAATTGTTCGAACCTTTTATGAAGTTTATGGGATATTTAGATCGACCTTTTCCATTTTCATCATATGTTATACAGATTTTACAGAACATGAGCTGGCCATCAAATTTCAGCCACTTCCATTGATTAAGCCAATGGTTGTGAAATTTTCTCTCCCTCTTTTTTTCTTTTTCATGTTGCTCTTTTTCACCTTCTGCAGCTTCGTCTCTGTCAACTTTTCTTTTTGCTGCGGCAGCAACCCATTTAATCGGCCACATTCTTCAAGGTGACATGATCAAATAGGATATTGAATTACGTGTGTAAAAGAAACCAGAAGTCTCTGTCGAGACTGTAGCTCTACTGGTTTGAACTTATAACAAAGGATGAGAAAAGAAGCCATTGCCATTAGACCAAAACTGTAGAAGAAGTAGTGTTTTAAAGGAATTTCACAGACATTTCTATTTTTAGTAACAATGGCAACACCGTTCATCAATTTAAAAACCGATGCACTATTCTTTGTATCTTAGTGTAGTCTACTTGTGTGCCAAATAATATTTAAATCAGACCAAAATTGTAGGAGGAGTAGTGTTTTGTAGAAATTTTACAGAAAATTCTATTTTTAGTAACCATGGCAACACTTCTGAATTTATCCAAATGAAAAACCAATGCACTATTCTATGTATCTTAGTGTAGTCTACTTGTGTGCCAAATAATATTGAAATCAGACCAAAACTGTAGAAGGAGTAGCGTTTCAAAGGAATTTCACAGAAAATTATTTTTAGTAACCATGGCAACACCGTTCATCGAAATCAAAATCCGATGCACTATCTTATGTATCTTGGTGTAGTCTACTTGTGTGCCAAGTTATACTGATATCAGACCAAAACTGTAGAAGAAGTAGCATTTTAAAGGAATTTCACAGACATTTCTGTTTTTAGTAGTAACAATGGCAACACCTTTCATCGAAATCAAAAACCGATGCACTATTTTATGTATCTTAGTGTAGTCTACTTTTGTGCCAAGTAATATTGAAATCAGACCAAAACTGAAGAAGGAGTAGCGTTTTAAAGGAATTTCAAGGAAAATTCTATTTTTAGTAACCATGGCAACACCGTTCATCGAAATCAAAAACCGATGCACTATTTTACGTATCTTAGTGTAGTCTACTTGTGTGCCAAGTTACACTGAAATCAGATCAAAAATATAGGAGAAGTAGCATTTAAAGGAATTTCACAGAAAATTCTATTTTTAGAAACCATGGCAACATTGTTCATCGAAATGAAAAACCAATGCACTATTCTATGTATCTTAGTGTAGTCTACTTGTGTGCCAAATAATATTGAAATCAGACCAAAACTGTAGAAGGAGTAGCGTTTTAAAGGAATTTCACAGAAAATTCTATTTTTAGTAACCATGGCAACATCGTTCATCGAAATCAAAATCCAATGCACTATCTTATGTATCTTGGTGTAGTCTACTTGTGTGCCACGTTATACTGAAATCAGACCAAAACTGTAGAAGAAGTAGCATTTTAAATGAATTTCACAGACATTTCTATTTTAAGTAACACCGTTCATCGAAATCAAAAACCGATGCACTATTTTATGTATCTTAGTGTAGTCTACTTTTGTGCCAAGTAATATTGAAATCAGACCCAAACTGAAGAAGGAGTAGCGTTTTAAAGGAATTTCACAGAAAATTCTATTTTTAGTAACCATGGCAACACTGTTCATCGAAATCAAAAACTGATGCACTGTTTTATGTATCTTCGTGTAGTCTACTTGTATGCCAAGTTACATTGAAATCAGATCAAAACTATAGGAGGAGTAGCATTTTAAAGGAATTTCACAGACATTTCTATTTTTAGTAACCATGGCAACACCGTTCATCGAAATCAAAAACCAATGCACTATTTTATGTATCTTAGTGTAGTCTACCTGTGTGCCAAGTTATACTGAAATCAGACCAAAACTGTAGTAGGAGTAGCGTTTTGAAAAATTGTTTACAGACAGACGGACAGACAGACGGACAGACAGACGGACGACGGACACCTTACTATCGCATAAGCTCTTCTGGTCTCTGACCAGTAGAGCTAAAAACACGTAAATCCGGATTAACAACAACGCACGTTTTTATAATTTTTATTGCATTTTATTGAAATACTCAACAAATAAATTATCTCTGAAATAAAATAATTAACAGTATTAGACTTTCTGTTTCGTGAATTGTTTCTTAAACAGTGCCGGTCTGTAAAATTTATCGGACATTTTGACCGATTAAATTTAGATTTTACCGGACCCATTCAAATTTTACCGGGGATCCCCGGTGGACCGGTGCGTTTCGGGAACTCTGGCAACACCATTCATCGAAATCAAAAACCGATACACAGAATTATGTATCTTAGTGTAGTCTACTTGTGTGCCAAGTTATACTGAAATCAGACCAAAACTGTACGAGGAGTAGCATTTTGAAACAATTTTACAGAAATTTCTATTTATAGTAACCACGGCAACACCGTTCATCGAAATCAAAAACCGATACACAGAATTATGTAACTTAGTGTAGTCTACTTGTGTGACAAGTTATACTGAAATCAGACCAAAACTGTAAGAGGAGTAGCATTTTGAAACAATTTTACAGAAATTTCTATTTTTAGTAACCACGGCAACACCGTTCATCGAAATCAAAAACCGATACACAGAATTATGTATCTTAGTGTAGTCTACTTGTGTGCCAAATTATATTGAAATCAGACCAAAACTGTAGGAGGAGTAGCATTTTGAAAGGATTTCACAGAAATTTCTATTTTTAGTAACCACGGCAACACTGTTCATCGAAATCAAAAACCGATACACAGAATTATGTATCTTAGTGTAGTCTACTTGTGTGCCAAGTTATACTGAAATCAGACCAAAATTGTAGGAGGAGTAGCATTTTGAAAGAATTTCACAGAAATTTCTATTTTTAGTAACCACGGCAACACCGTTCATCGAAATCAAAAACCGATACACAGAATTATGTATCTTAGTGTAGTCTACTTGTGTGCCAAGTTATACTGAAATCAGACCAAAACTGTAGGAGGAGTAGCATTTTGAAACAATTTTACAAAAATTTCTATTTTTAGTAACCACGGCAACACCGTTCATCGAAATCAAAAACCGATAAACAGAATAATTATGTATCTTAGTGTAGTCTACTTGTGTGCCAAGTTATACTGAAATCAGACCAAAACTGTAGGAGGAGTAGCATTTTGAAAGAATTTCACAGAAATTTCTATTTTTAGTAACCACGGCAACACCGTTCATCGAAATCAAAAACCGATACACAGAATTATGTATCTTAGTGTAGTCTACTTGTGTGCCAAGTTATATTGAAATCAGACCAAAACTGTAGGAGGAGTAGCATTTTGAAAAATTGTTTACAGACAGACGGACGGACGCCGGACGCATTACTATCGCATAAGCTCTTCTGGTCTCTGACCAGTAGAGCTAAAAATGAATAAATTTAATAATCTTCAACTCCCATCTTTTTGGGGTAATACACCTACGGGGTTGCATCTTAGATTAGATATTGGAACGGGCCGCGCCATCCTACCAAGATAAATCTCTTTGTCGATTATACTTTGGAGTTCAGATAGTTGATTCTTAGCTGAGGACATATTTCTTGGTCGCAAGGGAAGCCTTAATCCTGTTTAAAACAAGCGAAAACCATTTTGGAAACCATTTTGTATATACTGTGCAGTTTCTTTACATGGGTATTCAGACAGATGCTTTTGTTAGCAGCCCACCTTAATTGGAGTTATATCTAGGTCCCATATATCTGGGGGGGATGTCAGGGTCGTACTGTAGATTGGTGAAAGGAGTTGGGACAAAAATTATAATGGCCCGTCTGGCCATGGGGTGTATTTGGTCTGAAGTTGGATGATGTTTTGGTTTAATTTGACCATCAGTGGATGAGTGGATAATTTTTGTGACAGTTCATGCACAGTTTACACACAAGACTTGTGCATATATAAACAGGGATTTTTTGCACATGAGCCCTTATATTATAATCATAGCATTTTTAAGAGCGGTGATTGGGTTGGTTGTGGGAGTGTCAGGTTTGACATGTAAAGTAACCACAATTCTGCGTCAACTGTTCCGAAAGATATACTAGTGTGTTTTGACATTTTTAATCTAAACTGCATAATCCTGCCATGCAGCAGATGGGTTGCGATTAGCTCCAAGACGAATAGTTTGTACATACTTTAATATGCCGTGTATGTCTGCTGGGTGTCTAGGCAAGTAAATGCTAGCAAACACTAGAAATGCATCTGTCCAGGACTCAGTAGATGCAATTTTTACGACTTGCTTTAGGTTGCATGACGATTGCCCCTCAACCATTGAAAACTTTTGCATTTTTTCCGAGTCTAACTCGAACTCTAAAACTTTGCTAGCTTTACATATTCTTTCCCACAATTTTTTCCTTTCGTTGTTTGGGGCACATGTAGTCACAACTCATCTGAAACACTAATCAGGTGTTGGGTTGATAATGAAGGAACTGATATGCATGTAGCAACATTTGTTGCACTGAAAACAGATCCTGATGTACTGGATGTTGACGCCATAGTTGGTGAAGCAGATGAGCCTCATGCCGTTGACGGTGGGCTGGATCCTCTTGTGTAAGCAAGACTGGACCCTGTGGTTGTAAGGGGGGCGGGGCTGCGATTCAGGTAATTGTCGGTACGCGTCCAGGAAGTCCTGGTTCCCCGGCGCGCATATGGTGAAGCGGACTTCCGCTTAGATTTCCCATGTCCTTGGAGTAAGAAATACACGTTTAAAAATAATCTATACAAACAAATGATACATGTATAAATATATATCACAGGCACTTGTTTCGGGAATTAATTTTAACCTAAAGTATAATAATAACACAAGGAATCCAACTCCGATTTACACCGAGTACCCTCCTCCCTTAGAATCGCGCTCATTTACACTTTCAGAGGAAATTCACGGGTAAACTGTTTATACCTATGTCTTCTACGATAATTTATCTACACAATGCTTGACATGCTTGTCTTTATTTTCTTTTATCTCCGTAATCAGCTTCAAAACTCTGCTCGCCGAATGGAAAGTGAAACTCAACCATAGAATGGTATGTTCTTATCTCGGGCAAAGAATTAGACCTCAAATTTGATTGGCTAAAAATCTGTTTCTAAAATTACATCGGGAAAACATCGTAGTGTTTTTATGTTTTTAAGAAAATTTATTTATTCAATGAAATATTTAAAATCTGGAAT